TGCTTACTGCCCCCCCACAGTAAGGAACGAGGAAAACTATGAGCAGATTATTGGGAATGCGGCAAATAATTAATGTGATTTTCAGTAAAAGAAGAAGAAACTGCAGTCACGTGGAGCTGACATGCTGCTTTCTAACGCCTCATTAGCTACAACAGCTACAGCAGCTACAGCTACAGCAGCTACAGCAGCTACAGCAGCTACAACAGCTACAGCTACAACAGCTACAGCAGCTACAGCAGCTACAGCAGCTACAACAGCTACAGCTACAGCTACAACAGCTACAGCAGCTACAGCAGCTACAACAGCTACAGCAACAACAACTACAACAGCTACAACAGCTACAACAACAACAGCTACAACAGCTACAGCAGCTACAACAGCTACAGCAGCTACAACAGCTACAGCAGCTACAAAAGCTACAGCTACAGCAGCTACAACAGCTACAGCAGCTACAGCAGCTACAGCAGCTACAACAGCTACAGCTACAGCTACAACAGCTACAACAACAACAGCTACAACAGCTACAACAACAACAGCTACAACAGCTACAGCCACAACAGCTACAGCTACAACAGCTACAGCAGCTACAGCTACAGCAGCTACAGCAGCTACAGCAGCTACAGCAGCTACAGCAGCTACAGCAGCTACAGCAGCTACAGCAGCTACAGCAGCTACAACAGCTAAAACAGCTACAGCAGCTACAACAGCTACAGCTGCTACAGCTACAACAGCTACAACAACAACAGCTACAACAGCTACAACAACAACAGCTACAACAGCTACAGCAGCTACAGCTACAACAGCTACAACAACAACAGCTACAACAGCTACAACAACAACAGCTACAACAGCTACAGCTGCTACAGCTACAACAGCTACAACTACAGGCAACAGTGTGTGTGTGTGTGTGTGTGTGAGACACACTCATCTAATTAAAATGTGATGCATGGCCACGTCTACACGGTTGATGCTCAGAGTGTAACCTCCATCAAACGTGCACCGACGCCACATGCACTCAACACATAAACAGTCGTAAATATTTCAGGCTGGAGCAAGGTGTCGTTTCTCCAGCGGTTTCCATAGCAACGCTACAGGCAAGTGTAACTGTGTGTACGCTCTGTGAACGAGGAGAAGGAGGAGGTATATTATGGTTTATCTGATCTGAACTCTAACCCTAACCCTTCTCCTCAGGTTGGCTCGACTCCTTTTCCTCTGAACCTCTGAATAAAACAAACACACACTTGAAGAACAGTTGTAACGTATCTGAGTGGACGTTTTTACCGTTGGACACTGTAGTGTGTTCTACTCTCCATATACTGTAGCTGGATCTACTGGAGGGTTCTATCTCAACACCTCCAGGGAATCTGGTGACCTACATCCCAGACGGAAGGAAACAGGAAGTAAAAAAAAAAACCCTGGGATTTGAAAAGAGTTGTGTCTGTGTTGAAGCAGGTTTCACACCAACACTAATCATTAAATATATAACCTGCTTTTAATTAACTGTGGTGAGTTATATCACATGGTTACTGTGAACTAGCATTAAAGAACTACTGGCTGAGTGGCTGTGGTGAAAAAAACACACACACACACACACACACACACACACAGTGAAGGAGGGAGGAGAGAATCATCTCAACATTCATTTTCAGCCCCTCTCTCTCTCTCTCTCTCTCTCTCTCTCTCCATTAATCTGCCCCTCTGCCCCTCACTGTCATGTCTCTTAATATCCTGTAGGCTTCGCTCTGGAAGCTTCCATCCTGGAAAAGTAGAGACAGTTCAATAACCTCGGGGGGGGGGGGGGGGGGGGGGGGGGTGGTGGTGAAGGATGGTTGTGTAAGGACTGATTCACACACATGGTGGAATAAAAAAATGAATTTATAATTAAAGTCGTTTATGTTTTTTTGTTTTTTTTATATTGTGACCTCCATGATGATAATGTGACATGACGTACATGTGTTGCTCATTATATTGTACTGAACTTCATTACATCAGACATTAAAGACGTGTCTAAAGGAAGAGCACGGCTGGTTCTCCATCTGTGGAACTTCAGCTCCGCCGGAAAAAAAAAAAAAACTGATGAAAACAAAACAGGCAAATTAGTGCCGAGGATCTGAAGCTCATTTTCTAGAATTTGTTTTTGTTTATCAGAGCATGGCCTAATAGAGAAGGAACACATGGAGCACGACAATGGTGTCTAAACACGGGGGGGGGGCGGGGGGGGGGACGTCCCAGCCAATTAGAGGCGACTTTGAGGAGGACACTAAGAAAAACAATAGCTCAACATGGAGTGAGGTTGAAGTGTTTGTGTTGAAGTCAAGGTTTAAAAACACTGAGACGACTCTACGTCTGAGTCCACACTGTCTAAGTCAGAGAGGAGCAGAACAAACAGTTCCAAGCACTCTGTCAAGATCAGGAAAACTGATATCCAGAAAGTGAAATCTAGCAGAGGAACTGACCAGCGTCAGACCAAACCAATAAACAGAACCGAGACGGCGGGCGATCAACACATCCACTGAGGAGTTACGCTGCAGCCTGGGAGCTGAAGTGTAATTTGGTTTTATTGCTTCTTTCCTGTTGATCAATTGATCAATAAAAGAATCGGTTTGACTCATCACTCCCTGCTGTGTTGTACTTTCACACCCACACCCTGTCAGGCTACTGACCTTCCATTGCATACTTCATGTCCTGGGCGAAGAGGGTCCACATGATCTCAGCACTGATCTTGCCCACGCTGACCTCCTGTGGAAACCTGGTGGAATTGAAAGATATTCTAATCAGGCACATTTCTGTAGAAACCACGTCGGTGACCGAGTGTGGAACCGTTACAGATGTGCCAGGAGACAGGGTTGGAGAATCTCATAATCTAATAATCCACAGACCGTCCCCGTGGACACAGACCTACGGCGTGCACAGAGCTCAGAAGATGAGAAAGAGCAGAGGAAATCACGCTGGGACGGGAGCCAGAAGGTGGCGACCGATTTGAAAAGTAATCTGCAACTTTGAATGCTTATGGATTTTCAGTCAGAGCCTAAGTGTGAAACGCCAGGGGTTTAATTATCTGAACCTGGAGACAATGACGGGAGGAGGGACAGTTATAGATGAGACGTCCCTGGTCACAGAAACTTACTTCACTGTTCAGGCAGTAATGTATTCAGCCAGAACAACTGGACAGAAACCAGTGGAACCAGTGGAACCAGTGGAACCAGTGGAACGTGTGGTGAATCCAACTGTCCTCCAGTTTAAAGGTTTTACTGCTGAGGCCAATGTTAAAAAAAGTCCAGGAAAAAAGTTAAACTTAACATTTAGCGTGTGTGTGTTAGACGTGTTACGAGTTACACACTTTTACTATTTACAGCCGTTGATTGTCATTGATCACAGTTAGTCAGTGTTAATCCAGAATACGACATTGTCTCTGTTTGTTACTGAGATGGGAAGGTTCTCAACACGTCACTCTGCTACTTTGATTTTCTGAACCTGATTTTTACGTTTACAACCTTCAGCAACAGGAGATTCAAAGGTTCTGACAGAATTGTTGAGCTCTTTTTGGTGCAGTAAAGAAGTACGTACTGGTTTACGACTGGGGTGTAAGCCGTTCTGTCCTCATCGATTACAGACACCATGAGAGTGATGAGTTTTGGCCAGAAGTCCAGATTCTTTATTGACGGCCCCTGCTCCTCACGGGGGAGGTCCTGTTTCCGACTCTGTGGACGAGAAGATGAAGACGTTTGAATGAGGAGATTTAAGTCTTAGACTAGAAAGAACATTTATTTCTAAATCAAACAGCAAGAACCACTGCGACCAAAGTTCTAAAATCAAAAGCACTTTTTAATGTGAACCTAAAGAGTTGATGTTGAATCACTGTCGATGCCTCAGGATCACAGCTGTTCAGCCCAATAAGAAGCAGGTTCTACAGTGAGAACAGAACCGAACAGACAACAGAATAAAGCGGTTCTTTCTGACGGCTCAGGATCATGCAGATGTTATGATATAACAATCACACCCTGGTGTCTGAGGCAGAGGAGCAGCAGAGATAATCCACCTGCTGGTCTGTGGGGGCTGCAGGACAGATTTTTATACCTGCTGACTCTCATGTTGGACACGGACCTGGGAAATATTTGTTATTTCTGCCCAATATCCATGGATTCACCATTAACACGGTGCTGCTGCTGAGGTCTGTTTTGTATCATCATCTAATAAACATGTTACTGTCGTTATCGTACGTCCTGCAGCGAAGAAGGAACGCAATTTAATCTCAGAGGGAAAAAAAATCCCAGTGATTCTTAGAGCGTCTGTGACGGCTGATCACATCCACACACGGTCGACTGAGTTCATCACTTTCATCACGGAGCTCAGATCTGTCATTCTGTATCTACAATTTAGCGTCCTTCACATACATGTATGAATACATGTATGTGTGTGTGCTCCTCCATAAACCCTGACGTATTAAACACTGAAATTAATGCTTTAGTCGAGTTAATTCATTTGTGAAATTAATCCAATTAATCTCATTATAATGCATGTAGAGAATGACGCCCCCTGTTGGTCCAATGATTCCAACATCTGTCCACCTGTCGCTGCTCTAATACACTGTCAATACACATGCATGGATTGGACTCGAAGATTCACTGAAGCAACAGGAAGAAAACATTTTAGTCTGACTTCCTCATATTTTACTTTTCTTTAGGAATAACTTCATCATTTGTTTAGTGACAAATAAAGGCAGGTGTGAAACACACACACACACACACACACCGCCTGCTGCCATCGTCTTTCTGTTCCAACACATTACAGAAAAAAACAACATTTTTTTTACCTTATTTAGGAATAATGATTATCATGAGTAACTGCAGTCAGAATTAATCCAGATTAATCCACAGCTCCACAGGGAATAATCCACTATCTGTTTAATACACTATAATATTTCTCATTTACATTCTCAGTTTTGTTTGATCAATCACCCAGCAGGGGGGGCTAACTGAATGAGTTAGTTGGTTCTATTATTCCACCTGACACCTGAGGCCTACGAGCCGCTGCCTCGGTTCACAACATGTTTTTGCCTGCATTAAATCGGAGAATAAATCTCAGAGCTCCTCAAGGCCCCTGGAAAATGGAATTATTCAAACTGAATTTTTATGTCTGAAAACAGCCCTGCTACTGTAAAAGACGGATGAAAAGGTTAACCTTCAGAAAGTCTATCTTTGGTTCAGGGTTAAATATTCTCCACTGCTCAAAGAACAACAAAACATGGAGGTTTTATTGGAGAATGAAACTGGGAAATGAACGCCGGATTTTAGTAGAATAAAAATTAATAAGATTATCTATACATATATGTTTTCATGGAGGATGACCATGACGTTGATGGATCCTCCATGTGCTTCTCTGACTAATACAGCTTTAAAAGAGCTGTTATTTACATGTTATTAACCACTTTAACCCAGACGGTAGCGACAGAGTCTGTGCACGTTGACGTCGTCATGTTTCGTTGTTTCTTTTCCACTTGTTGTTTGATCTTAAACCTTTTTTATTCAACAGTTTTTTTTTCTTTTCCTCCACAGGGCGTGGGGTGATTCCATACGTGTCTCTCTCTCCTGATTGGTCAGCTGTCCAGGGTGTATACCCTGTCGTACCCTCGACCATGAAGGATTAGGTGTAAATGAATAAACTAGGTAATACTTAAGTTAAAATATTACTACAGTATTCCATTATTATACTTTTGCATATTTTGCATATATCGATGCATATTTCCGAACACGAGTGCATATTCAGTGGCCAGAGGCATGATGGGAGAGCTGTAGGTCAGCAACATCAATATTAACCAGTGGCTCAGCACGTGTTCGTCCTGTTCCACTGTGACATCGCTGAAGTTCACGCATGTATTAGTTGTGTCCAAACATTATCATCTTCTCAAAAACCTCATCTGAATATTGGACCTAAAGTAGACGCAGTAACTGATTAGATTTCTTTAACGGCCTGATACGTGTTGTTATTCATAAAAACTGACCTCTGATTTTACGGGTGCATATACTGCATATACTTAGAGTGAATACATAGTACCCTATAGTACACAGAGTACACAACACGAGTATTCGCTGAATATTCAGTGGTGGATTGTGATTCTCCTCAGGTTTGTCTTTATTGTTTGGCCCTCCTCCCTCCCCCCCCCCCCCTGTGGGAGAGTTCCACATTATCATACAAGTGGCTCCTGGTTTATTTCCCCATTGACACAAATACCGGCTGTGATTGAAGAATGTTCTCAAAGAATGTGATCAGAGTCCCAGGAGAACGAGCGGTGACTGGAGACCAAGTGAAATAAAGGCTATTTACACAAACTGCATTGTGCAAAATCACTTCACAAACAGAGGACACACCACTTGTGAGCTCACAGTTAGACGGACCATGTGGGTATTGTTGGCAAATATGAGCTTATGTAAGTGAGAGGGATACTTAACAAATCAATATGAAAGGCTTGTTCAGGGGAAGTGGGATTGGTTACCGACTCCTCTGTGGCTCCTCTCACAACCAGCACCAGAGATTGCTTCCTGTGCAGACCTGCTATAACCAATAAAACGTATCGTAACCTCCAGGCTCGACTTATGCATTAATGCATGTCAAATCTGAAGTTTTACATTTTTGATCTGCAACCACAGGGTGGAATAATCCTTTATGTTCTGCCTCATCTTTGCATTCGACGGCTTCATTCCTTTCCTCCCTGCTTTTTCTGCTAAGATTTACGGAGCTCTTATGTTATATTTCCTACCACACGCCCATCCCCCCCCCCGGCCCCCCTGTTGGGCAGCACTTCCTGTCCGCCCTGTCAGCTGTTCCCTCCACAGACCTCTGGAGAAGTGGGTTCTGAAACGTCAACGGTACCATAAGGTTTGGACCATCAGCTTTTCCTGATGTTTTTTTTTTTTTCCTCCATGGTACTGAAGGTGACGTTATGGTGCGGCTGTCTACAGTGGAGGAGCGGTGAACGACGACCACGGAGTCGTTAGAAACCCGGCTCCACTGTTCAGTCATTTCTCTCACAGCCTGAGGCTGGAAACACAGGAGGTTGTGCTAATTTAGAATTATAAACAAACAGGAAGCGCCACAGTAACAGGTCTGGAACATAACGAATGGAAATGAAGGACATTTGTCAGTCAGCTGGTCCTGTGGGGACAGGGTGTAACAGGCTGTAACAGGCTGTAACAGGTGTGTAACAGGCTGTAACAGGCGTGTAACAGGCTGTAACAGGCTGTAACAGTAGTCAGACGGCCTCCGTTAATGAGCAGGAAATCTTTTCTAAAGTGTGTTTTTCAGACTCTGAGAGAAGTCTCCAAAGACAAAAAGTCAAAAGTTTTATGTTAAAATGTTTAAAGACTGATATTATAATTTAAAAACATGGTTCACAACAAACCACAGTTTTTACAACCTGAAAATTTACAAATACTAAAATCAGAGAAAACTTCAGATTTAGTTTGTTTTATTGATGCAATGAAACTGGTTTGATGTGTTGGTGTTTCATTCTAATGTTATCTGTTGTTTGATAATCGGTGTTTTCTTATTATTATCATGTCTGATTCTTCAGAGTCCTGGTCTTTTCACCGTCAACCCTCGTTGTTAGAGAACGGTTCGTACCAAGTCCAAAACACGGGTTAATAAAACATCAGTCATGAAACGTAGTCCATCGATTTCCAGTCGCGCTGAGTTGAATGAATGTTTTCCTGGTCTGGTCAAACATCAATAACGAACACAATACAGCTGAAAGGAAGTGTGAGGTCAGATTTATGGGAGGTTGAAGGTGATACAGCAATAACCTGTGAGGAGGGGGGGCTGGGCGGGGGGGCGGGGGGTCAGGCCTGCTGGACCTTGATAAATGTTTAGAAGAAAAACACAAATGACTAAAAGCCCAGCGGCGACCAGCACAAAAAGAGCTGAATCAGACGGAGAGCTCGTTAGAACTGATCCAGGTTCTGTTGGATCTGGACCAGAGATTTACTCTGAGATTTACTGGTTAAATAGTGCTGAAGGATTACATTCTTAGATTTAAGAACACGACTGTGTGAACTGTGGTCTTTATTTAAATGATGTCATGTGACCTCCACACGTGACCAATAATCTTTGAATCAAACTCTCTACAGTTGAGCTGCAGCTGTCGACCCACGTCTGGAGTGAAGGAGTGAAGCCTGAGGTTAAAGCTGTGGTTCACCTACCTGGTCCAGGAGCTGGTTGTAGAGTTCATGACAGTTGTCAAAGATGTATTTGTAGGTTGAGTCCAGACAGGCTCTGACACAGTCCTTCACCACCATACTGGCCCTGGGAGGACTCTGGAGCTCTTGAACCTGCGCCCATCACAAACACATACAAACCTGTGTCAAATAAACCTGTGTTGATGGTATTGGACATTAAATTAAATGTGTACAAGTGCAGTATTATATTTCTGTCCAGCTGTATTCATATCTAAAGGAGTATTTTCAAACTGAACTGAACCACTGCTGCTTCACTGGACTCACGTTGAACACTTGATCATTTTAAATTTTAATTTTCTAAAATATGGTCTTGGTTTGTTTTTTTTTGCTTTGTGTGACTGTTTTTTTTTTCTCATCTTAATGACATCACGTGTCACCATCACATCACGTTATTATGAAAACGACCTACAAATGGAGACATGTATTATCTGACCCAGTGTTTGTCAACTGGACCGACCTGGACGTCCGCTCAGTTTCTGACCGACGGTCAGTGAACACATCACTGCAGCTCCTGTGTTAGAGTCCAGTCCAGACACAGAGAGAAAGCTCCGTAACCAAAAGTGACAGTTTTCATTCCTTAGCTCAGAGCTGCCATCTTAGTTAC